GGGCAGCGACGATGACTGGGACGACGAGTGGGACGACAGCTCCACGGTGGCGGATGAGCCAGGCGCGCTGGGCAGTAGCGCGTACCCGGACCTCGATGGCTCGTCGTCTGGGGGTGGCGGCGCGGCCGGCCGCTACCGCCTGTCCACGCGCTCCGACTTGTCACTGGGCCCCCGCGGTGGCTCGGCGCCCCCGCAGCACCATCCATCGGGGGCCAAGAGCTCAGCCACCGTGAGCCGCAACCTCAATCGCTTCTCCACCTTTGTCAAGTCGGGCGGGGAGGCCTTCGTGCTTGGCGAGGCATCAGGCTTCGTGAAGGACGGAGACAAGCTGTGCGTGGTGCTGGGGCCCTATGGCCCCGAATGGCAGGAAAACCCTTACCCCTTCCAGTGCACCATCGATGACCCCACCAAGCAGACCAAGTTCAAGGGCATGAAGAGCTACATCTCCTACAAACTGGTTCCCACGCACACGCAGGTGCCGGTACACCGGCGCTACAAGCACTTCGACTGGCTGTATGCACGCCTGGCAGAGAAGTTCCCGGTTATCTCGGTGCCCCATCTGCCCGAGAAGCAGGCCACTGGCCGCTTTGAGGAGGACTTCATCTCCAAGCGCAGGAAGGGCCTGATCTGGTGGATGAACCACATGGCCAGCCACCCGGTGCTGGCGCAGTGCGATGTCTTTCAGCACTTTCTGACTTGTCCCAGCAGCACCGATGAGAAGGCCTGGAAACAGGGCAAGAGGAAGGCGGAGAAGGATGAGATGGTGGGTGCCAACTTCTTCCTGACCCTGAGCACACCCCCTGCCGCTGCCCTCGACCTGCAAGAGGTGGAGAGCAAGATCGATGGCTTCAAGTCCTTCACCAAGAAGATGGACGACAGTGCGCTGCAGCTCAACCACACGGCCAACGAGTTTGCACGCAAGCAGGTAACGGGCTTCAAGAAGGAGTATCAGAAGGTTGGCCAGTCCTTCCGTGGCCTCAGCCAGGCCTTTGAGCTGGACCAGCAGGCCTTCTCGGCCGGCCTGAACCAGGCTATCGCTTTCACCGGAGATGCCTACGACGCCATTGGCGAGCTCTTCGCGGAGCAGCCCAGGCAGGACCTGGACCCTGTCATGGACCTGTTAGCGCTGTATCAGGGGCACCTGGCCAACTTCCCCGACATCATCCACGTTCAGAAAGGTAAAGCCTGGCCTTTTAGAGCAGATGGTATGGGATGTATTGTTCAGGATGAAAGGGATGACTTTGACAGAAATACTGTAGTCTCTTTCAGACTAATCCCCTACAGGTCTGGAAAAAAAGACAGCTAGGCCTTTTTCCCGAGTGTACGGTGGTCAGGTAGCTTCCTCAAAATATTTCCAGACAGGGAGTGGGTACTCTTCAGAGAAGGTTCTGAGAGTACTTTTTATGACAGTGCTATCATTTTGAAGTTTGAATATTGGATAATGAGTTTCTAGGATCTGTAATCTTGTGTGTAGTGTAGAATTAGAAGGGGACCCAAACCACGTTAGGCATCCATTTGAACACTACAGGGTTACTTATCCGATGGGTTTCAGGAAACGTGGAGATAATGGGGAAGAATGGATATCTGCAAATAAAGGTAAGTCAGCTTTCACTCTCCACACCTCTCAGTCTCTGCTTGGGTAGAGGAATTAGGGTCAATACTCTGAGGTACCAGCTTGGGCAGCTTAAGAACTTCCTGCACAGCCTTCTTGTTTTGCAACCTTGTACAATTTTATTTTAGGAAGTTTTAATAAAATCTGTTTAAGCTCAGTCATTTTGAGTTTGGAGTCTATTAAGACTGAAATTAATATTATTTAG